TCTGAGCCCCCAGGCCCAGGAGAGGCCCTCTGGTTGGTCGCTGATGAGCCCAGATCAGTGCCCAGCCATAGGAGGGGCTCCTTTTTCCCCTATTTGCCGCAGGAACTCCCAGCTTCTTTGGGACTGGGAAGTTCTTCTGAAGTCTGACAACAATCCCTGGTAACATCTGGATGTGCCACAAAGGCACCAACCAGCGGGGTGCAGGAGATCCCTCTTTCAAGGGGCCAACTAGGGCAGAGCTAGAAAGGGGGAGATACTAGGGGATTCCCAACACCTTTTTTCCCTCTCTGGCTACAGGGTTCTCTCTCAAACAGCACAAGGCTGGGGGTGGGAGTGAGACTGCAGAGAAGGGGAGGGCAGAGAGGGGACTAGGGCTGGTGGGGGAGTCTCACTTGGGGCCCAGGCAGCCACAGCTTGCTAGCTCAACCTTCCCACCCCAACTTTCCACCCCACATCTTGGAGGTTTTCTCTCTCTCCACCCCTGGCCATACCCCGGAAACCTACACTTTGGAAGGATAATGGCTCCCAAATGCGGTTTTTGTCTCTGCTAAGCCTCTGGGAAGGTGAGTGTTGGTTGAGCTCCTCCAGCCGCTCATTAGGATAATAAGCTCCCTGAACCGTTAATTGTCAGGTGGCACGCCTCCCTCCACCCTCCTGGCCCGCAGGTTGGTGGCTCTGACTTGGGATCAACTCATGAAGTCACCTCCCCACTCCATGCCTGCCCATCACCCCAAGAATGAGTGAGGTGGACTTTAGTTTCCAAAGGAATGCCGGGAAGAAGGCTCAGACCCTGGTCCCATGGCCAAGAATTCCTGTTGGCAATCCAACTTGCATCTTGCCTCCTCCTGGAAGGTGGACAGTGAACCAAGCATTCCTTGCAGCTCGCCCTGTAGGAGCTGCTCGATCCCTAGGGAGCCATCTTACTCACTTAGAGGGTATGTGTACACTAGAGGGGGGTGGGAAGCAGAAGAGATGGATTGCCCAGAACACCCAGCTGGTGGAGATAAGAAGCCCAGTCAGCCTGGGCAGACAACTCGCCCCCCAAGATGAGTGCCCCCCACCAAGGGTTTTGGGAATTCATTCCCTATCCCCTTAGAGAAATCTGGCCCCTGACCCTGGGAGGCCCCCAACCAGTTTCATTTCAGTGACAACAGAGCCAGTGTTTACTTGGAACAAAGCGTCATGGGGAAATGAAAGATGAATCAGAACTGGGCCAGCCCCCACAGCCTGGTGGGAACATTAGAACATGTATACACATCTTCTAGGGAGAATGGCCAAGGGCCAGCAGAGAGGCCCAGAGAAAAGGCCGGGGTGTAAAGATCCTGGAAGGCTTTCTGGAGGAGCTGGTATTTGAGCTGAGCCTTGAAGAATGTATAAGACTTTCTTAGGTTTTGGGGAGGGGTCTGGGGACAGGTGTTCTAGGTGGGGGGAAACTGTCCACACAGAGGGAAGAAGGGAAAGAGGGGAGCAGAAGGGGTCTGCTGTGTGGCTGGAGAACATGTGGGCCGGACACAGAGAGCATATTACAAAGCAGGTGGGGAGCCACAGTGCATGAGGACAGTGACAGTGGAGACACCTGTGACAAGCACAGTCCATAGTCTCCCACTTTACTCTCAGCCTGAGGGAGAGGTGGGCACCACAAGAAGGCCAACCCAGGCAGTGCTCAGTTGGCGGTGGGGGAGCAAACCAGGAAGAGAGAGAATCACTCAAATCTCTGGTCCCAGCACCACTGCTACAACCTGTCCCCTCTGGCTCTCTAGGAATAGTGGTCAATACCAGGTCACTCTCCGTGTTAGGTCATGGGCCCTGCCCTCTCTCACCTGGCCCTTGCGTGGGACCCAGATTCACTGAGTGGACAGCAGAGGGGGCTGGATTTCAGAACCCCACCACCACCACCCAGAGAGGGTTCTCAGAGGGAAGCAAGGCCCTTCATTCCTTGGCATCTCTGCCTCTACATGAAATGGAGAAAAGGAGCTTTGGGCGCCTTTCCTCTGCCAGGATTTAAATGCTTGTTGCTTGTTATGATTCAGCTAACATTTATTTACGTCACGGTATGCCAACACTGAGCAGTTTATGTCATCCTCACGATGACCCCCCTGTGACAAAGGAGGTACTGTTTATCCACCCCCACTCCCTCCACAGAGAGGCCAGAGAGGCAAAGAGGAGGTTCATCTCTTGACTAAGGTCACACAGCACATGGCAGTAAGTGGCACCCGTACCAACACAACACAAGACCGTCTGTCCCTCCCTGCAGGCAGAGCTAGGCTAGAGCAGAACATCGTTCTGCATTCTGTGGACTTTGAAAAGAAAGATCCTGGCCCAACGCCCTAAGTCATTATGGGAATTGGTGTCTGCTGCAGTCCAGGGGGGGCACTAAGAGGAAAAGAGCTCAGCCTGGCTCTTCCCCCTCACCCAGGCCAGGGCAAGACCTCCCACCTCACTGCGGCTCCTGTGAGGAGTTCCTTCCTCCATTGCAGCAGCTCCCGGGCAGCTCCCTCCTCCCAGGCTACTTCTGAGTGTGGGGTCTCCAGACCTGCATGGTTCTGGTCCTGACTCAGCCCCAATGTCCCGTGTCACTTGGCCTTCCCAACCCTCTGGGCTCCGGTTGGCTTCTCTGAGAAGGGAGCAAGTGGACCAGCTGACCTCCGAGACCCTTGCAGCTGGGCCCTTGCAGGACACAGACAATCAGCTCGTTCTTTGGTGAATGGGCCGGGGAGGCAGCGAGCGAGTATGAAGACATTTGGACTTTGCTGCTTTTGGGAAACCCCAGATGGAATTTGGCGTGGAATCTAGAGTGACCCACTGACTGCCTGCCGCCTCCGGCCTCCCTGCGCCTGTGTTCCTGCACGCCTAAGCACACACGTGCATGCATACGGCCACTTCCCTCCCGTGGCCAGACGAAGGGGCCAACAGAAGATGGTGTCCCCATGCAGGACCCTCCTGCCTCCAACAAGAAAGGGCCCTGTCTCCTCAGCCTGGGGCCCCACTGTGCCCCTACCCCAGCCTTCCACGTCCACCCCTCAAACTCCTCCATCCCGTTCTCAGTTCTGCCATTTCATTCCCCAAGATACCCTCTTCCCCTAAACACACCCATCTTTCCTAAAGGCCATACCTTGATGGGACTCCAGGTCTAGGCAGAGTGGCAGGGGGTCCGGGGCTTGGGTGTAGGAGGAACACGGCAGGGGCAGGAGGGAAGCCCAAGTTAGCAAGAACCTCACTAAGGAGCAGTGGTGTGGGTATTGCTGGGAGAAGGCTCCAGCACTCTCTGGATTAGGCCCCCCTTGGTAGAGGGGCTACCTGGTGCCAGAGCCAACTTTGTGAGCTGCCCCTGCCCATGACCTTCTCCATGCTCAAAGTCACCAGGAACTGGAAATAGAGGCCATTGTGTGGGGCCAGACCCCAATTTCACTTGGATTAGGAGACTGGAAGATTCGGTCCTTAAGAGCAGAGCAAAAAGGGCCAACAGATAATGAGAAACAGAGACAGGGAAAGAGGGGCCCAGAGAGACCCGGGGAGCTGGTGAGAAACACGGTCAGGGAGACACAGGACCAAATCAGACACAAAGGAAACAGAAACACACACACAGAGAAACAGGCTCCCAGGGAGACAGTGATTCACAACCAGAGATGGGAAAAGGAGCAAACACGCAGACGTGGAGAGGAGCGGCGGAGGCAGCGCCGGGGAGAACAAACGGGAGGATGGACCGGGAGGGATGGCGAGGGACCAGGAGAGGTCACCGAAGGCAGAGATGAGGACAGGCATAAAGAGCAAGCGGGGAGAGAAAATGGAAAGGCAGCCAGAGGAGGAAGTTCGGTGCGTCCCTACTAAGCTGGGGATCTTCTTCGGTGGCAAAGTCAGATTTGAGACGCGGCAGGAGACGCCTAACAAGCTGGTTGCTGAGCCTCCCCGGGAGCCCTCCCCGTCTCCCCGGGGCCGGGAGCAGCACCCCACCCAGCAGCTCCCCTTCGCCCCCTCCCCGGGGGTCCGGGCTCCATCTCTCCAGCTCCGGCACGGGGCCCCCGCGTCTCCTCCGTGTGCGGGCATCTGGCTGTCGCCCGGCGCCTCTGCCCCCCGAGACGGCCTCCCACCCCGCCCACCAGCCTGCTCCCCCAGGGCGGGCGCTCGCGGGGCCCGGGTCCCAGGTCCCAGCCGCGCGGCACTGGGCTCCGTGGGAATCCGGCGTTGGGCGATGCTGCCACCTGGCGGCCGGACCCGGGAAGCACGGCGCGCCCGGAGGGCTGGGGCGCGGCCGCCGAGGGTCGGAATCCGGCCCTCCCAGCCGGGACCGCCTCCGCGGGGTCTTTCCAGGAATCCGGATGGGCCGGCTCGGCCGCGCCCCTGTTCCCCTGGCTTCCGCTTCGCCCCGGGGGCCGACCCGGGGGGCCCATCCCTGAATCCTGGGCCATAATTGCCCCTGGAGTCAAATAGAGGAAGTGCACTAACACGTCCCCCGGCGGTGCGGGGGACCCCGGGGGACACAAACGTACTAGTGCTGTGGCCCTGAAATCTACCAGCCGCCTGTCCCTCTGTTCTTGGCCAAAAATACGGGGGACACATCGCCCCCACGCGCCCTACAGTGCCGTCCATCCGCCCCGGGCCTCCGCCTTCCTCTCCCGCAAACTCTGCCCCCGCAAGCGCAGATGGGAAGGGCTCGCAGCGGCCGCTCGCCCTGCCCGCATCCTTTCCCCCAGCGCCCCCACCCCCGACTCCCGGCCCGGCGCAGCGCCGCCTCCCTCAACCCCGGGGCCACGGGGGGGTGGAGGAGCGACGACTGGCAACGAGCAGCTCTAGAACTGATCCCACTTTTTTTTCTTTTTTTTTTCTTTTTTTTTTAACCGGTTAATCTCTTCTACCTCCCTGTTCCGGAGACCCAGGTGTCCTCTCCTCCCCTCCCTCCCCTCCCCGCCCCCTCCCTGCCCCAAGTCCGGCCCTTCGCGGGTGCATAAGCTCCGCCCCCATCCCGAGGCGGGGCCCCATAGGTGGAGAGACGTGGGAGAGGTCGCGGCCCCGCCTCTCCCCTCCTCCCCCTACACACGGAAGCTCCGTGGCCCCCATGCCAGGATGTCCGACACCTGGGTCCCCGGCCTCCTACCCACCTTGCTGCTTGGCCTGCTGACGGGCCCCCAACAGGTGAGCGCTTGGGAAGTGAAGCTGTAGAACTTTCGGGGCCCTACCCCTGTGGGGTCAGGGGCCGACTTCTGGAGCCCGGTCACCACCTTCCATTGTCAGGATTTCCTCGTGACCCGTACGCACTCAGCGACTTCCTTTCTCTCTTTGCCGGCGAGGTGGAGGTGGCGGCAGCGGAGGGAGGTCCTGAGAAGGCCCGGGTTCCTATCGCCTGTGGGGGACTGGAGGACCCTGGCCCCCGCCCACCACCCTCTGACACCTAGTGCTTCACTGTGAGCGGGACTTTGACCTTCCAATTAGTCTGGGCTCGTCCTTCCCGCTTCTTCCCGCGGCGTCAGGACAGGGACTAGGGGGGACCGAGGTCTGGACGCCTGGCCAGCCTGTCTCCCTAATTCTGTTCCTCCAGTGCTGGGTGACCTTGGGGGAAGCTCTGGCCCTCTCTGGGACTGTGTCTCTCTGCTTGTCCCTTAGGGGAGAGAAGGCTCCCTCCACGCCTTCTAGGAGTGGGCGTAGGATTCCAGCCTGTGCAGAATTTGATCTGTCTGCCTGACCCAGTGCAGGGCTGACCTCTGAAATCAGTGATTCTGAGCGGGAGGTAGGGTTTATGCACCCCCTCATTCCTCCGGTTCCTCTGTTAAACTCTGAATTGTTGGGCGAGTCCTGTCCAGTCCTGGGATGGGAGATTATCCTGGCAACTGACATGAGTCTAGTCTAGCCTAGAACAGTCTAGAATTTTTCACTTCTGGTAAGAATGCCAGCGACGTCCCAGGCCCCCTCCCCAAAACAGGGCCCCATCACACAACTGTGCTGACTCCCCAGCCTCCGCCCCTGGAGCCCGGGTGCTCCTTCCCAGCCGCGAGGCAAGCCGTTTGTGCCAGCACTCAGCTGAGCATCCTCTTGATTTCTCCCAGCAACGTCAGGGGCCAGGTGCTTATAATGTCCCCACTGCACGGGTCAGTAAGCTGAGGTTCTCCACGACCACACAGCCGCTCAATAAAACTCAGACTCAACCACCTCGGACAAGACCACCCCCAGGTTAAAGGGGGGTAAGAGAACCTCTCCAAACAGCAACTCAGGATTCACTTATTTTACCTGTTCATTGTCCGTAGCTGGGGGCCAGGAGAGCAGGGAGAGGCGGGGTCTGACATCTGAAGGGGGAAGAGGGTGCCTGAGTGTCTGGACACCTTGGTCTGCCCCCAATTCTGCATTTGCCCCTATGTGTGAAGTTCCCCCTCTCCCTGGGCCAGCCTTCCTGCTCTAGTCCCTGGGGTGCCAAGGTTTGTGGGAGGGAGGCTTCCAGGTGGAGCTGAGCCCAGAAATGGAGAATCAGCCCAAGTGTTAGTGGCTAGCATCAGTTTTCTTGGCTTTACTGTCGTTAGCAATTCAAAGGTGATTGAATTATTTCAAGTAAAGGTATGAAGACGTGGTATCTTGCCAGAGTCGGCATCTTAACCTTATGCTGCGGTTATTTGTCACCTGGAGGTTGGAGGGGAGTGACAGATAACTTCCCATTCCCTCCTGTGTTCCCACCCCTGCATTCCCTGCCCCCCCACGCCCACCCCACAGTCTGGGAGCAGCCAGGAGGAAGTGAAACCAGGTAATCAGCGACTGCTCTTTCATTCATTCTGCCAATGTTGTGGTGGTTGGATTTTTCACCAGTGATGACAGGCAAAAATCCCTGTCCTTCTGGAGTTTACATTCTTCTGATGAGACAAACAGTTAACAAGATAAAGGGAAACATATAGGATATTAGTTGCAGGTAGGAGCTCTGCAGAAAACTTAAGGAGGGGGAGGGGCAAGGAATGCTTTGGGGGACTAGACGCAATTTTAAATAAGATGGACAGAGAAGGAGGTGTGGGAGCCAGCCTCACAGATACCTGGGCTAAGCATGTTTCAAGGAGGGTTTATACACATCATTGCCAATCCGGTTAAATTCTGGACCAATACCCTGGATGCCCTACAGAACTGGTGCAGAAAAGGGAGGGAGGGATGGTGAAGCTGGGTCCCGCAGAGGAGGGTCTGGGTGGCTTCAAAGAGCAAGGAACACGCCCCCACACCCCCCACACACCCCTAGGGAACTGAAAGATGAATGGGGTTCAGCTGACCATGCAGGCAGGAGGAAGAGGGCCTGCCCTTGCATGCGGGTGTAAAACAACTAGGCGTCTTCAGGGAACTCCTACCAGCTGTGTGTGCAAGGGGTACAGGGGGGAGACACTTGTGGCTGGGGGTCCAGGCACCAGGGAGACACTGAAGGGGGAGCTTCCAGCATGGTTTTAGGTGATCAGATTTGCTGGATAGGAACTTGCCTTCAGTGTGGGGAGTGATTGGAGTGAGCGGGAGGAGAGGTGCTGGTGCTTTGGACTGTAGAGGAGGGATGGAAAGGAGATAGATTGAAGGGGTGATCAGAGGCACGTGCTTCCAAATCTGGGGGTGAGCAGGTGTGGTGCAGGGGTGTGATGTGGAGAGAAAGGAGAGTTGGGGGCACCCGTATCAGCTGGGGCTCCACTCACAGACCTTCAGTGATATGAAGAAGCAGGCTGGGGGAGGATGTTGATCCATTGGGGACCCGCTGCAGGCTCTCAGGCACCTGGCTGCGTAGAGATGCCACCCCTTGGTTTATGACCGCCCCCCCCCTAACGTCCACCTCTTTTCTTCCACAGGCTGCAGCCAAATGTGGGCTCTTCTTGTAAGTCTGGGATTTGGGCTAGAACTTCCAGTCTGGGGAGGAGACACCCCAAATCCTGCCCTGTCTGCCTTCATGGGAAGGGGGCCAGAAAGGCACCTCATCCATCACATTCCCCCCACTTCCCGCCCTCCTCCTCCTGCCAAGCAGGGCAGAGTTGCACTTGTGGGTGTGTCTGGAGTCTAATCTCCACCCCTCTTTCCATCTTCTAGGTCTCAGGCTGTCTCTCCTCCAGGAGTACCTGCCCCCAGGGGATGGGGCAGGCAAACTGTGCCAACCTTAATATATAAATGCCCAAAGGCCTGAGCGAATGAGGAGGGACTGAGGGGGGCGGCCCCTGAGCAGGTGAATGTTTCCATCAAATCAGCCCTGGATGTTCCAGGAACACCGTTTCCTTCCCACCTTTTACTCCATGGGCACCAGCAAGGGCTCCTCGAGTTCGCTCCAGGACAGCCCCCACTGCTGGGGACTGTGGGCAGGAGGGCCCTGTCCCACTCCTTAGAGGGCTCTTGCAGGCACTACAACATGCCATCCCCACACCTGCCCAGTGAGGTCAACAGGACATTCATCCCACCCATTTTATAGATAAGGAACATAAGACCCAGAAAGAAGTGTGACTTGGCACAAGTAGTGAAGTGAGCCTGGAATCCAGATCCTGGGTCTTAGACCCAGCTTTGCCCACAGAGCCCAAGGAGGGCTCCTCCTTCCCACCCTGCTGGGGCATGGCTTGTGCCCTGAGTGTATGAGTGAGTTGTGTGGAGGCTGGGATCTTTTTGCCACCTTGGTACCAACAGCCTTTCTTTGCCTCCCTCCAGCACCTGCCCCAAAGGATTCAAATGCTGCGGTGACAGCTGCTGTCAAGAATATGAGCTCTTCTCCAGTCCTCTGAGGTGAGCCCAGGACCAGGGCATAGTGGTTGGGTTGCCTGGACCTCCTGCCCAAGGGGTGGTGCAGGTTGGTGGGGGAAGGGATGACAGGGACAGTCCAGAGACTCAGGGAGATGTTGGTGGTTCCTTACCCCAGGATTTTTGTCATCACCTTCCTCATCATCATACCCCTTTTGTGCATCTGCTGCGTGGCTAAGCGGTTCTGTCGCAACTGTGGAGACCAGGAGCAGGACCCCCCAGTGGATCATGAGGATCCCCCGGATCCGCCCTCCATTGCCCCCCCAGAGAGGGTCAGGGCGTCCACCTTTGAGCCCCCACCCCCCTACAGCGAGGTGAGTGTCTCTGTCCCATTCCTTGCTCTGTTCCTCAGCTGGCCATACCTCCCTATTGTCCAGATTTTTAGAGCAACCAGTGACAGCGAGGCCCTCCTTCCACCAGGCCTCCGGACCTAGAGAGGGCTCTGCAGCCACCGTCGCGTCACCCCCTCCCTGGGAAGGATGCACAGCCAGCACTTGGGTGGTGATGGCTGGTGCCTGGCCCTGAGAAGACTCTGTGTCCCCTCTTTTACCTGCAGATCATTCTGAAGCCTGTCCTGCCCCCCATGGAGCCACCCCCTCCCTACAGCTTCATGCCTGAGGAACACCCTGGGGTGCCCAGGGGCATTGACAACCCAGCCTTCTGAGCCACCACCCTCCTGGAACTGCAGTATCAGCCCCTCCTCTGCAGTACCTCCTGGATTAAGCCAAAGACTCCTGGGACCCCTGTGGCACCCCCACCCCTCCTGCCATGTCTCTGCTGTTCTTGGTTTTAACTTATTGTTTTTCCTGTCCTCTTCCACCTTAGCTGCCTCTCTTGTCCCAGGTGCTGGCCTGGAGTGTCAGCCTCCCCTCAGCCCCCATCTCATGCTAGAGGCTGCCAGGAGGAAGATATCGACACTTGAGGTGCCTTGAGGTGCCCACCGGTAGGGTGGGCTACTCTGAGGAGTGGAGAGAACCCTGTTTCCAAGGGGTATACAAATCTCGAGATCTTGTAGAGGGCACTCCTGTTCCTCGGAGATTGCACTGCATGGGCTCTTCGCCACCTCCAGGTCTACTTGAATAGAGAAGACCCTGTTGTACCCTACCCCCCACATGTGTACTCACTAAATTTTACCTGGTTGTCACTGGGAGTCCGCCTCTGGCTGTGTAATTGGGGAGTGAGCCTAGGCACTGCTGGAGTCCTGGCAGGGAGGAGGTCACTGCACCCCAAATCCTACCATTGATGTGTTACTGATGAGCCTGGGTGGACAGTACATCTGTGAACCACCCTCTGGGAGAGGATCTTTGCAGATGCTTTGACCCAGACCCAGGTCATGGTGCTAAAGAGCCTGGACAGGGAGCTGGGGATCCCCTGGGAGCGACTGTTCTGTTCTTCACCATCCTATCCTCCCACTGCTCTGCCCGGTGGAGCTCAGCTCCCTGCCATTCTGGCCACAGGGATGGGGGGGGTGGTGAGGGGAAGGGGGTGGGGGAAGCTAGCCATCTGTGGGGTGGGGCCTCCCACATCTGCCCCACCCTAGAATCTTCTGGGGGAAGAAGAGGAAAGGGCAGATTCTCCCTCTCTTCCAACCCAGTGTGTGTTCTGGGCACTCCCACCTCAGCTCATCTGTGGGCTAACCCCTAAGAGGAAAGAAGCATTCCCCATTGCACCATGGGAGAGAGTCCTCTCGAGGAGCGTTCATCCCCATGGGGCCTGCAGCGAAGGGTGGAGCTGGGGGACTAGCATGGGGTCCACGGCGGGAGAGAGACCCTCCACATCAGCGTCTCAGGGCCCAGGTAGGGCTGGACTCTGATGCCGTGACCCTGCCTCTGTCCTGCAGCCCGTGCGTGCCAGCCTTCCTCCACAGACGGGCACAGCAACAGCACTGACCGAAGCTCCTGGGGAGATCGGAGGTAGGACTGGCCCTGCTGTGCTAGCCACAGGGCTCTCTCAATAATACCCATTCTTAGGGTGTCACAGCCCAGGCTGGTGGCAGAGCCAGGAGCAGGGAAATGACACAGCCAGCCCCGAAGATGCTAAGAACAGGGGCTGCCTGACTGGGGCTGGGTACAGAGCTCCAGAGGAAGCACAGTGGTTGGTTGGGGACAGTATCGTGTCAGATGGAGTTGGCAGTTAGGAGAATGAGCACAGTCACAAGAAGGTTCCCGTGAGTTTCAGGGATTGATGAGGGGGAGGAAAAAGAAGATATACGTGCTTTGTGCAAGGGTGGCGGCTGGCTCCAATTAGAGAGGTCACAGAGCTGATGTTGCCCTCGCTGGGTAAACACCTACCTGGGTGGGAGGATGTTAAAACAATAGGCTTTGCAGACCTGGAGGAGGTCTCCTTCAGCCCCAATGCCACCTTCTTTTCATCAAAGATGGCATGAGGCCTTTAAATCTTCCCCAGATGCAGCAGAGTGGCCTGAGGGAAAGTAAGTGGTCATCCTGAAAACTAGCATCGCTGGGACCTGGTGGCAGAAGTGGCCAGTTCTAGGTCTCTCTGCTTATTGTTGTGGGAGGGGGGATTGTGTGACCCTAGAGGGCAATCTAGGAGCATCTTTTCGCCCCATGGATCATTACAAAACTCCTACTCTGTGTCAGGCACTATGCCCAGCACTGGGTATCCATTCTGATGGAAAATGCACATGACCCAGCAATTCCACTTCTGGGAATGATCCTCCAGAAATGCTCATACAGAAGAGCTTAGAAAGATGTCCATTGCAGCAGCATTGTAGCTGGGGGAGGGGGGGAGGGTAAATAAAAATACGCTAAATGTCCATTAATGGGAACCAATTAAATATACTGGATCCTTCCATATTGTGAATGCAATTCAGCCTTTTAAAAGGATGATGAAAGAGATCTGCCACAACCAACTGGCACAATGCTCATCATTTATTATCACGGAGGACAGGGAAATTGTAGAATAATGGTCTATGATCTCAAATTGTAACTACATACTCGATCGTGCATATATATATATTTTTTTTGTTTGCAAATGTATAGAAATGATCTAGAAGGATACGAACCAAACCATACCCACTCCACTACTTCTAATAGTGGTTGGCAATGTGGGGTGGAGGGGCTGAGGTAGTCAATTGTAAGGGAGGTCTTTTACTTTGTATGCTTTGTCATATTTTTTATAATAAGCAAGCATTACTTTCAAAAAAATTGTCATGGAAAAATAGCTTTAGAAGTTCATGAAGACTCACCTTGTAGACTTTGATCAATAGCAGTTCATATATTATCAGCCCCGCTATGAGGAAGAGGCGGGAAGAGCTCTGACATTTGGCACACACATGACATGTGAAGCCGAGGATGAGATCAGCAATGGGCAGGAGAAAGCCTGGACACCTGCCAGGGGTTTGAGGACATGTGATACCCACATGTTAACCCGAGGCTGTTCTGTGACTGGCTGGCACTCTGGACATATCCGATGTCTGCCTGGTTGGTTGGGTGGATAAGCATTTTCTCAATGACTGAGAATTCATCCTTTGCGCTTGGTTTAAGAGCTTGAACCTAATGAAAGGATAATGAAAGATGGAATCATGGGATGGATGGATGGATGAATGGATGGACGAATGAATGATTAACTGGGCAAATGAATGACTCAATGACAGAACAAGTGTACAGATCTGCCACCGGACATTTGTAAAGACACATGTGGCGTGGTTAACAAGAAGGTGCTCCTTGTGGCTATAGACTTCTATCTGCAGGAGACTCTCCAGAGGATGGGGAGTACAGGGAAAGCTGTGGGGCAGGGGAATTGCTGGAGGATTGGGGGAGGGATGACACCAACAAGAATCTCCTTTCACCCCGGGACTGAGATTTTAGAACTCTGGCTTCCGGCCTTGAAGTTTCTGCATTTGGCATCTCTGGGTCTCAGTTTCTCTGTACAGTGAAAAGGTTCACCCCTTCTAGCTCTGGTAGGATGTAGCTCTTGGACTCCCACAGGGAGAGGACTGAGGAAGTAAGAGAATTCAGGGATCCCCCTTGATTGTAATAGCCTCACCTCTACCCCTGTATCAGCTGCACACTCCAGTGTGTCATCCCTGGTAACCTCAAACTTCTTGCTCCCTATGCTTCCAGCTCACGCACCACAGTAGCCCCAAGGCAGCAATTCTCTGAGCCTACTGAGACCTCCAAGCCTTAGCCCCGCTGCAGTGCCAGCCACCACGACGTCCTCACTGTCCTCCTTACCCAGCCTGGAGTCCTTGATCCAGCCTGATAATCACTGCCCTGTATCTAACCCCTTTACCCCCTTCTCTGTCCGTTGTGCTCACCTGGCAAAACCCCAAACCAAAGATCTAACTAATTTTGGATCCAGCTCAAGAACCAGCACACCTGAGCAATTGGACTCACTTTAGAATCAAAACTTGCAGATCCCATGTGGGCTCCCAACTCTTCCAACATACCTTAGAAGCTTCCCATCCTCATTCTTGAGATGACTAATTTATACTGTCTACTCTGTCATCTCCCACACTCCCAGCCTCAATTTCAACTGGTGATGGTATCACCAGAGACAAAAATAGATACAGTCACAGAAGAACTTGCCACACACCCTCCCTTCACCTCTGGTGATATCCCCCGGCTGGGCTTCACCCCTCGTGCCTTCTCAGACCTCGTTCCCGCAGTGATGCTGCATCAGCTATTTCTCCCACATTGATGGACCTTGGTCATTATCTTCTGGGTGTAAGTGCCTCATCACCCATCTCAGAGAAGCCCTGCCCTGATACCCTCATTCCTGCGTCTGCTGTTCCACGCCTTTTCCTTTACCCCCATCCCCAGCCTATGCCATCCCTCTCCAGCCAGCCCTTTGTCCCCATCATCACCTGCAATGGCTCTTGTCCACAGCACCAATGACCTACATTTTGCCAAAGCCGAAAGTCAATTCTTGAGCCTCATTTACTCAGTCTGTCAGTGGCATTTGACACACTTGGTTGCTTCCTCCTTCTTATAAAACTCTCTCTTCTGGATTTCTCTGACACCACCTTCCATGAGTTTCCTCCTATGTGCCCACAGCTCCCTCTCAGGCTCCTTCCTGTTCCCCTCCTCCTCCACCATCTCTGAATGTTAATTGGCCTGAGGGACCTGACTTGGCTTTGGCTCTGTCTTTCTCTTCATTCATTCCTATAGTGACTCTCATCTGGTTGTGTGCCTTCAGAGACCATCTGTTGTCTGATAGATCTCAAATCTTTATCTCTGGCCAGGGCTTGTCCCTTGAACTGTGGACTTCTGTCTTTAACTTCTGTTCAACTACCTGACACCTCCACTTGGATGCCAGGTGAACAAACCACAGCCACGACTAGGCTCTAACTTCCTTCTATCCTGCCCTAAATCTAAGTCCTTCCCAAGTTGTCCCATCCTAAATAGGTGGCAGCTGGCCAGTTGTTCAGGCCAAAAACCAGTGATTGTGATTTCCCTCAGTCTCTTCCCTTCTCATCCTGCCTCCAAATTAGACCATATGATTTTTTACCATTTCACTGTTTCAGCCCTAGACCAAGACATGGTCAAGTCTAGCCTAGGCCATCTCAGTGACATTCTAATTAGCTTCCTGCTTCTGCTCTTGTGTCCATTTTGCCCCTGCTGTTCATCCTACGCACTGAAGTCAGGGAGACCTTTCTAAAGCACAAATAAGGGACGCCTGGGTGGCTCAGTGGTTTAGTGCCTGCCTTTGGACCAGGGCATGATCCTGGGGTCCCAGGATCAAGTCCCACATCAGGCTCCCTGCGTAGAGCCTGCTCCTCCTTCTACCTATGTCTCTGCCTCTCTCTCTCTCTCTCTCTCTCTCTGTCTCTCTGTGTGTGTGTGTCTCATGAATAAATAAATAAAATCTTTTAAAAAAATAAAGCACAAATAAGACACATTGTTCCCCTGCTTGAAAGCCTCTGTTGGTTGCCCATTGTAGTCAAAATTAACTCCAAATCCCTGACTGGAGCCTGTAGGACTTGGCAGGTGTGGCCCTTCCCATCCCCTGTCAAATCACCTCCTACTTCTCTCCTCCCTCCTCACTGTATTCCAGCCACAGTGGCCCTCTCTCTGAGCCATGACTGTCCCAAATTAACCTGGCTCAGGGCCTTTGATGGCCTTTCTGCTTGGAATTGTCATCCTCCAACTTTGCCCACAGTCTTCACATGGTGGCAACCTTTTCATC